AACATAGCCCAATTCTCAGTAAATGTATATTGAATGAGGGAATTAATGAATGCATGGGTTATAGCTCTGGCATCAGAGCTTTTCCACGGAGAGCCAGCAGGATCCACAGTCGTGCCAAGTACCATTTCAGATCAGGGTGAACTGAGTTCAATTCCAAGCTTCATCGATGACAAGCTATGTGACCTTAGACAAGTCACCTGACTTTGCTGAGTCTAGACTTTCTTTTCTGCAAGTAGGGATAATAACAGCCCTCTCAGAAGTTTGTCGTGTGGACTAAATGAGATGCCATGTGCTCAGCACTTAGCACAGTGTCTGGCACTTTGGGATCCCTCACTAAGTACTGCCGGAGCAATAATGGTCTCCAAGAGTTCAGTCGTTCCTGGAGGCTGCATCCAAATAAAATTGTTGCATTTAGTTAGAGGACATGAGGGCAGGACGTGAAGCCAGACTGTCTCCTCCACTTACCACCTAAGTGTGGCATTTCTGAGCCTTAGTCTCCTCATCTGCACAGTGGGGATAATATCAGGGCCTGCCTAATAGGCTGTTTGGGAGAACTGGGTGATAATTCATGTAAAACACTTAGCAAATTGCAGGTATACAATAGAGGTTGGCTCCTAGTGTTCCTTATCAGCTGAGAGGGAGAAGTCCCTGGGAGGGGCAGGCTTTGGTGAGGGTCAAAGAATAGGCATTTTGAACATGTTAAGGTTGAGATGGCATAAGACATGAAGTGGACCTGCTAGGTAGCCAGGTGGACCTAAATCCACAGGTGAGGTCTGAGATGGAGGAAAAAACAGGGGAGTCATCAGCATAGGGGGGATATTTAAAGCCATGGACTGGATGAGATTACCAGAGGAGTGGGTGCTCAGGACTGAACTCTGGGGCTTCTGATCATTGTGAAGAGGGGGATGATTGTCACTGCAAACCTGGTGACCAGGCACAGCAGTGTTGCAGGTGCACAGTCAGCCTAGCCCAGCACCATTAACTTAACACCCATTCATATATTGTGTGCCAGGCACTGTGAAAAATGCTTCACAGGAATTAACTCATTTAATACTTGTAACACCCCTTTAAGATGAGCACTGCTCATATTCCCAGTTTGCAGATGAGAAAACAGACCCAGGAAGATAAATAACCTGCCTGAGGTCAGGCAGCCAGTGAGTGGCAGAGCCAGGGTTCAAACCCAGGCATCCTGGCCTCAGAGCCTCCGTTTCTCCTGCTTCTAATTGTAGACAAAGTACTGACTGGCCTTTCCAAGGGAATGCTGGGTTTCTTAGCCTCTAACTCCCGAGAGCAGAGCTACGAGAATCATCGTGGATTGCTCTCAGAGGTCCCATTTAGCCTTGACATTCTAGAATCAACCCAATTAACATTTCAGATTCTTGGCTGAGGAAAAAAGAGGAAGGAGGTCTCCATCAAGGAATATATAACCCTGACAATTATTTCATATAAGGTCCCGGAAGGCCCTGGGGTGGGACGTCAGGAGGAGGCCCAGGGCTTCTCCTCCAAGCACAGACTCAAGCACCTGCCTTTCCCACTTCTCCCTAGCTGCTCTCAGGATAATGGTGGCTGCTGTGGGGCAGAAGCCAGAATCCGGGGGAGAAGTTGGGCTGATCCGGGAGATTAGCCTTGGGGCCCTTCTTTATCTCTACTGGAATATAGTTGCTCGAATGGTTCAATTGCCCCATAAAAATCTCACTAGGATATGAAGGCGGTCTGAGTTCATTTACCCCTCTTAGAAAGTTCTCAGTGAGTGTCTGCACAAACAGGTGAACCCCAGCTGGAGAGGAAAAAAGCAGGGAAGGGAGGGAAGAGGGCTGGAGAGCTGGATGCACCCAGGCAGCAGCACTGCTGAGTCAGGCATCCTGCACCGATGCTGCCCTCTCCCACACCCTCACCACTCCCATCCTGCCATTGACACTGACCTTGGAGGAGTAGCAACTAAGCAGAAAACAGTCTGACTGGGCACAATGAAGTCAATGGGAAAGGGAGCAAAGTGAGGGCCGGGAGAGGCCACGTGACCCACCCTGCCAGCTCCTGCCCACATCCCACATCTCACATGACCCTGCTTCTCAGGGTCACTGCATCATAACCCCTGGGAGCTTGTCAAGTGCAATCCCAGGGCACTGCCCAGACCTACCAAATCAGAACTTCAGGGGGTCAGGGCCCAGGGATTTCCATCATTCACATGCTCTCTTCTGTATGTGTATGATGAAGACCACACTGTAAAGAAGAGCCTCACAGCCTATTCCAGATTGAACTGACCTGATCTGAATGCAGTGACATCACCAGTATACCAGTGCCTACCGGGTCTACATCCAAAAGGAAGTATGAAATGCAGCCTCTCTCCTTGAGGGGATTACGGTCTAATTGGGAGATAAAAGACACTGCTCTGTGAAGAGTTAAATCAATACTATAATAAATAAGGAGTAATTCAAAACAACAGACAGACAGGCAGGACATTTGCCAATAAGAGGGAATAATTCTATCATTCAGTGAGCACTTACAAAATACTAAATCCTATGCTAAGCACTTCATAAATTAATTAATTTATTTAAACTGTAATTGTGCAATTGTTTGTTTTTCCTTATAGTTCTTCAGTTTTTGCTTCATGAATTCTTTTTTAAGGTATCATTGATATCTTATGAAGGTTTTACATGAGCAACATTGTGATTTCAACAATCACTCATATTATCAAGTCCCCAACCCCACTGCAACTACTGTCAGCGTAGTAAGATGCTATGGAGTCATTGCTTGTCTTCTCCATGCTATACTGCCTTCCCTGTGACCTACCTATATTGTGAGTACGCACTTTATATACTCTCATTTAATCTCATTAAAACTCTAGAAGATGGGTATTTTTATCCCATTTAGTAGGATAAGGCTTTAGCTTATTGGTTGATTCCTCTCATATCAGGCTTTCCTAGCCCTTAGAGGGTGATCAGGCTGATGTCTCTGTTTTCCCACTATATCCTGATATTTAGGGCTTTGTCTTATTGATCACACTGTGTTGTAACTGCTATTTACTGTCTGTGTTTCCCCCAAGACCTGAGGACAGATATTTAGCAGTTCCAGAGTCTAGTGCACAATAGGTGCTCAGCTAATGTTTGTTGAATGAATCAAAGTTGTGCATTTGAAATCTCAGAGCTAACACCTGAAGGCTAATACACATGAGCCCCAGTTTCCCCCTAAGCCACTATAAGCAGATGATACACCCTATAGGGATTCCTGCAGGGGAAATCATTGGTTGGCGTTCTCAGAGAAGGCTCTCTAGAGGACGTAGGAGTTGGAAGGACAGTTAGAATTTGGAAAGACAGATGAAAGCTGAGCAATCATTGTAGGCAGACCAAGTCATGATGATGGGATTCTACAAAGTACATACTTCCTCCAAGACTTGAGACCCTAAGGGACCCTAGGGGGTTCCATACTTCCTCTCCAGCTGACCTACCAGCTGTCACCTTATATGTAACTTAAATGGTAATTACTGCTATGAAATTATTTTCCTCCAAGGTTTAGAGGGAGAGAGGTGGCAAATACTCTACTGTTGTCGCATGCCTAGACCAGGCAACATAATGTATTCTATTAGTGATTTGTCCATTTGGAAAGTCCCTTCTAATCACGAATGGGATTTTTTTAGTTTCCATGAAGAAATAAGATCCATTAATGTCCATGATATATTGCTAAGTGGAAAGATAGAGCAATAAAACAGTATCACAGGATTTCATTTTTGTTAAAAACAACAGAAAAGAAAAAGGATAAGCACAAATATATGTATGTAGGAAATATTTAGAAGGCCGTATATTCTGAACGTAACAGTAAGTAGCTCTGGAAAATGTGATGTAGTGAGATGTAGGACTCTTACTTTACACAGTTTTGAGTGTTTGTCTTTTTAAACAATAAGTGTGTATTAATTTTACAAGTGAAAAATAAGACCCTGTGGTGAAATTATAGGTAGCTTTTAGTTTGTGCTTTAGTCCTCCTAAATTTTATTCTATGGACATCTAGTACTTATATAATCAGAAAATTTAAAGCCCTTTTCTCTATAAATGTTGTTAAAAAGAAAAGAAGTAGAGTCTCAAGACGGCACAATTTGGGATGTAGGGAGCAGTATGTTTGGGGAAAGCACCAAAGATATCCTGAACTCCGAGTCCTGGGAAATTCAGCACCCAGATAAGCTGGGTGTAAACCAGTTCAGTCCCAACTTGGCAAAGTATGTTAAGGTCTTTTAAGAAGGTTCCAGATTCCCATAGCTTTGTAATCCAATCCTGGGGCTTTAACTCAAGGAAATACTTAAAAAAAACTTCTCTATGTATAAAGCTCACTGAATTGAATAGGTAGGATACCCCCACCCCACCACCCTACCCCCCACCAAGAGTCCAGCAGCAAACGTTATGCAGCCACTTCTGACGATAAACATGGTACTGTTTACAAACTAATGCTGAGAAGAGAAAAACAGAATGGAATATTGCATTTACATGGTGAAATGGCCATCATACTTGTTATAACTAGTCAGTGAGGAAGAAAATAAGGATGAGAGAGGAGTGAAAGTGAGGAAGAGACTAAAAAAAAAAAATACAGTTACTGTATTAGGGTGATAGATTGTGGAGGATTTTTGGAAATGTCCTTATGTGATGCTGAAAGCTGTTTCGGTGGTCAGTGTGAACTACACACAGGGGCTCTGTGACTCTGGGCCAGTTACTTTTCTAAACCTGTTTCCTCTTTGGCAAAATGGGGACAATAATGGTACCTATGTCATCGGGATGTTGGCAGATTAAATGAGATTCCCCCTGTGAAACCCAATACATTCTAAATGTTCAGTGAGTTTTAGCTATTTGTCATTGTTACTTATTACCAACAAGGGGGACTTCTCAAATTCTCTAGGTGGGAGAGTATAGCCTTTCAGAAGGGCAGCAGAGTAATAGATACGAACATTTTAGATTAAAAAAAACCCTATGTTTCAGGAATTTCATGTCTAGGAATCTTAGCAAATAATCTGACCGATAGACTGAGAGGTATGAATGAGAATGTTTATCTCAGGGTTATTTATAATAGAAAAAGAGTGGAAATAACCTAAGGATCCAGCAATAGTTACATAAATTATGAAGCATGCATGCAACAGGATAGTCGGGAGCTTTTAAAAGGATATGACATACCTTTATGTAATACATATACTTATATTATTACATAAAAAAGGAGTTACAGAACAGTGTAATCTCATTTATATAACAAAGTATACCTACACATTTTAAAGTCTAGAAGGATGGATACCAAACTATTATTAAGTGCCTTCTCTGCCAGGACTGTTACTTGCTCTGAATTATGAAATTTTAATATATATGATTTATTGTCAGAAAATCCATGATGATGTATGTGTTTTAAATGTGTGTGTTTATGTTTTGTTTGTTTTTCTTAAGATGCCTGGTTGGGGTAAGGAATTCCAAGACTGGAGACTAAAGACTGGCAAAATGTGGCTAAGTTGGTTTCATCACTTCAGATACCACTTAGTTCCAGGTCTGTGGTGAATTCTGCTTTGGATAGAGATGATGGGGGTTCATGGAGAGCCAACTCTAGAAAAGGAGACTGCCTTGCAGAAACTTCCTTGATTAATAATGAGTGGGAGCCCTTGCAGAGTGCTTTATGCTTCGCATCATCTGTTTGATGCAAAGAGCGGTCCCATGAGACGGGCAGAGCAGGAATTATCACCAAGGTGGATTCCTTGTGTAGGAAGCGGTGCCAGAAGACAGAACAGGACTGAAGTCACGGGTCTGAACTCCCAGCTCTCCTCAAGCTCCTAGCCCATGCCTGGCATGGAGCGGGTCTCCAGGGCACCCTGGCACCTCCTCCTCCAAGTCAGTTCCCTGGGTCCACAGGCTGCTTCACTCTGCCTGCACCAGCCGCACCCTTCTTGTGTCTATTCTCTTTCAAGTGCAGCCACGCTTAGTCTCCTTTCATCAGGGCCCTTCCCACTTCTGTTCTCTTACCCGGGAATGTTGTCTCCCTGTGTTCTCAGCCTCCTCCAATCTTACTTCTTCTGTCAGCTTCCAGGTCTCATTATTCTTTCAAAACCTGTATCAAATACCATTTCTTATGAAAAGATGCACCAGCCCCCAGCTGGACACTGTCGCTCCTTTCCCAGGCCACACTCCCGCCTTTCTCTTAAGACACATCTTGCTTATCTGAGGGTTCTCTGTGGGTGTGTGGTTTGTCTGGATTATACTGGAATCTCTTTTGGGAAGGGTTTATGTCTCATTCATCTGTGTTCCCTCAGTGCTGGCCCCCCATGCAAATGGACTTTGTCTGATGAATGAGGGGTGAACAAGTAAAGAAGGGACCAGGACAGCTGATGGAGGGCAAGCCACGGATGGATGGGGAGGGGAAGAGCGATGGGCAGAGGTCGATGACTCCTCGAACCTGATGGCAGTGCTGGCCCTGGCCTTGCTGGGAGAGGCGAGAGGCGATGCATTGCTGGCCAGCACATCCCCAGGGTAAACAACCTCGGGGCTCTGCTCCTGCAGGCCCTGCCCACATCATAAAACAGAAAGCGCTTCCTCTTCAGGGGCGGGTGGAGAAGTGGGGTGACTTCTTAGAGGCTGAGCCTCAGCATCTGGGAGAGTTTATAAGCTGTGGCACAGACCCCTCAGCACCACGAACCCTCTTCTTCGTCCCCCTGCTCTCTGGCCTCCAGCTCTCCCAGCAGCATGGCCTTTAACGGCAAGTACGAGATCGAGAGTGAGAAGAATTATGATGAGTTCATGAAGCGTCTCGGTGAGTGAGCTGCTAGGACACCTTCCCTGTGGGGGTTTGCCACAGCCAGCTCTGGGCCTGGAGCCCAAGCCCCTGGAGGCCCAGAGAAGCTGAGTTCCTAGGCCAAGGTCACATACCTAGTAACTGGTGAGGTGGAGAACTGATTGGTTTATTCATTCAAACATTTATTGAACACTTGCTATATGCAAGGGTCAACCCAATGCTACAGATGGAACACCTCAGCATGATTTGCCCAAGGTCACACTGTAAATCAGTGGCAGAGGGCATTAGAACCCAGGACTCTATAATGGATGATAAGTGGTATCACCACATCCTGCCTGGGGAGAGGTGACCAAGGGGGTTAGTATAGAGACCAGGTTTGACCAGCCACTCATTCACTCAGTCATTCAACAAACACGGCCTCTTATCAGCTTGGCATTGTGGGCAGCAATCAAAGATCCCACTCCTCTCACTGCTGGACTTGCAACACTGGTTGTGAGGAATAAGTGAGACAGTAGCCTTGACAGTCCTGCAGAAATCTTGGTACGCTATCTATGTCCAGGGCAGTGCAACTGCCAATATTCAGAGAACAGCCCCAGTGGGCCTGTGTCCTACCTCCGTATGGTCAAAGGGAGCCTGAAAGGAGGGCATATGTGCCTTGGGCTCTTGGGGAGGCAAGAGCCCTTCTGAGCCAATTTCTGGGAGTGGCCCTGAAGGAACAGTGACTTGGCTTCACCTGCAACAGTCCAGTGTAGAACTGGAAGGGAGCCAGTCTCAGTTCTAGAACCAGTTCTGCATTAGTTTCTACCAGGATGCTAGAAAGCTTTTTCCTGCTTGGGGTCTTTATTTCCTAATCTGTGAGATATGAACATTAGAAGACAGCCTTGATGGTCCCATTCATTCTAGAACTTTGTAAGCTTGGCAAATTTCTGTTATGCTTCTGGCACAGTGCTATCAGAAGAGCAGCTATCATTTATTGTCAATTATGTGGCCAGAAGCTTTACAAGACACACTTAGATCCTTGCAACAGTCCTTCTTATCCCCATTTTGTGGATGAGAACACTGAAGCTCAGAGAGGTAGAGACTTGCCCAAGCTACACGGCTCACATGCTTTGAATCATCACGTTAGCCTGCCACAGGGAGGAAAGCTCTTTCCCCAAAGCACAGGCTGTTAGCAGCTCTAACACAGCTGCTCTGCTTGTCCCCGGGCCAGGGCTCCCCAGGGATGCTATTGAAAAGGGCAGAAACTTCAAGATCGTCACAGAGGTGCAGCAGGAGGGGCAGCACTTCACCTGGTCCCAGCACTACCCGGGGGGCCACTCCATGACCAACAGGTTCACCATTGGCAAGGAGTGCGACATGGAGACCATGGGGGGCAAGAAGTTCAAGGTGAGAGGCGCTGGCCACCCCTCCCTCCTTCCCCAAGCCTCTGCCTGACTTCCTGGTGTCAAACATTTCCTCTGGGGTTGCTCTGGGAACTGCAGCTTCTTTCCTAAGTCTAACCCCCAGCATTAGGAGCTTGAGTTACTTGGCAATTTAACCACTCCTGGCTTTTAATGTGACTGTCAATAACAAACACTATAATGATAGTAAAAATTGTTATCATTTGCTGAGCATTTAATACAGTAAACCCCAAATACTGGCTGAACACTTCACACACTGATGCAGTTAATCCTACGAGATGGCTACAATTACTATCCCCATTTTACAGACAGGCGAGCTGGGCTGAGCCGTGGACTAAGTAGCTTGCCCCTGCCACACAGCTGGGGCAAACCTGCATGTCCAGGCGGTCTGGCCTCAGAGAGAGCCACTTCTCTATGCTGCTTCCTAGTGTAGCCTGGAGACGAATAGCCCTGAATCAGACCCATCTGGGTCTGAGACTGCAATCATGGGTAACAAAGAAGTGACAGGTGGCTGTTTGTCCCCCATTCTACCCACACTGGTTCCTCAGGCCTTCCACTCATTCTGGGTCCCTTCTGGAGCCCCAGCCACGACTGTGAGCACCTTGCTCCTCAGGCTGCTGAAGTGGAGAATAAGGAGTCATAATGTTCAACTCTGCCATTTGGGTATTGAAGAAATTTAACAATCTCTCATGATGTCCTGAGTGAGCACTTATTGATTTGCCTTATTCTTTTTAAAGGTTGCACAGTCTCTTATAGTATGGAAATGCTACCATTTATTTAACACTCCCTCATTGATAGATATTTAAGTTATTTGCTGGTAGACAGTCTAGATTTTGGAGAGTTAGATGGTTAATAGTCACAAACAATGCTGCAATCGACATCCCTGGATGACATCATCATCCTAATCATGATGATCATTAGCTAACTGTAGTTACAAGGTGTGTTCACCACGTGCAAGCCTAATCATGCTTAGAAAACCACCACCTGCTCTAAGCACCTTCCCTATGTCATATTCAATCATTTAAGTCTCACAGTAACTATGAAGTAGGTGCAGTTACTACCCCCCTTTTAGAGGTGAGAAAAGCAAGGCAAAGGGAGGTTGGGAGACTTGTGCATGTTATCCGTGTCTTTGGATATATGACATTGAATATTTACAAGGCAAATTAATTCCTAGAGGGGGCTGCTGGGGCTGCAGGTGGACCTTTCATCCCTTAGGGGCTGCCCTGTGTCTGGGGGCCTCTGCAGGCTCAGACTTAGTGTTAAACATCTTTTCCAGGCCACTGTGCAGATGGAGGATGGGAAGGTGGTGGTGGACTTCCCCAACTACCACCAGACTTCGGAGATCTTGGGTGACAAGCTGGTGGAGGTGAGTATCATGCTGGTTCCTGGGATAACTGACCAGAACACTTTGCTGGCCCAGCCAGGGCCCCTGAGGTGGAACGGTGGGCGGCTGGCTTTAGGAGCACTATCTGCCTGCAGGCTGTGCCAAGTGTGGGGAGCACATCATCTCATTTGATTTCCACAATGCCCCTGGTAGGTAGGGATTTTTATCTCCATTTTACAGTAAGGAGACTGAGGCATAGGGAGGCTAAAGGATTAGCCAGAGGGCACATAGCTTTTATGACAGAGCTGGGATCTGACACTAGCTGGTCTGACTCCGGCGCCCACACTCAGCCACCTCAGGGGCACAGTTCTGCAAGCACTTGGGACCGTCCCCTTCCCAGAGTGTAAAGGAAGGGAAGAGTCCAGGTGGGCCCTGCAAGAGCAGCCACCACTCCACTTCATTTTCACAAGGGACTTTATGCCTTTCCTGCTAAATCTTCTGATTTTTTAAGAGAAGCTGAAAACATGTGCTTCTGTGTGAAGCCTCCAGATCATTAAACACTGGCAACCAATTAAACGTTTTAAAAAGTGCTAGCAGGGTGAATGTATACATCTGTGGACAGACCGCTCCCACACTTGTGCTTTGTAAACACAGGCTGGAGGGGCTACCCTGGAAGACCCTTCCTCCTACTTCTGTTTGTTCCCCCTGAGCCTCCAGAATTTTCCCCAGGTCAAAGAAATGGATATGAAGTTAAAAGAAAATGGAAGGCATTTCCATACTTCATTCCCTGCTTGTGGGTCTGTGTCCTGGGCCAGAGCCCCTTTGTGGTCCAGTCACCCTCCGCAAGGCTCTCCAGGGAGAACTGACTAGGGAGGCAGGGTCTCTCTCCTCCTTGCCTCCCCGTTCTCTCCTGCCTTCCCCTCCCTCCTCCCCCATATCCCTTGTTTCCTCATCTCAAGCCCAGACTAGAGGAAAGGGGCACGTAGCCCAAGAGGCTCAATGCTCTCCCATTATTCCTAGCTTCCAGAGAAGTCGAGGCTCAGAGACAGCAGGTAACTTGTTTAAAGCCACACTGCCAGTTTATGGTGGAGGCTGACCTTGTCAGCTGAATTCTAGACTAGGCTCTCTGCCTGCTCTTCCCAGGCCAGTGGGTTTTATTTCCCTCCTTCATTTTAATAATAATAAAAAAATTTAAAATAGATGCAGTGTTTTAAGAATAAATATAAAAGAACAAAAGTGACTATGCATTTGTCCAGGATGGAAAGTGACCTCTTGGAGAATCTAATAAAAACTTTGGACACATTTTTACATTAAGTATCAGTGAGTGGATTCTAAGGGTCAGAAGCACAGCCCCCCAGCCTGTGAGGGGTGCAGGGAGGACACAGGGCAGAAGAACTAGAGGCAGGTTTGTGCCCAGCTGGAGAACGGGTCTTCCCAAACTGAGTAAAGCTCTTTCTCGATTCCTAGAGGCTCCCAGCCATGGAGCTTGTAGGGTGTGATTGGTGCTCGGAGTTCAAGGCTGTCACATACATACACACACACGTATGCATGCACACACTCAAATACACATGTGCACAGACTAGGCACCAGAGAGAAGCTGTCGTGTTGCAAATCTCCCATCTTTAGAGGCCCAGGATCATCCTGGATGCATCCCTCCTTCTCCACCACCAAGGAGTGCATTTTGTAGGCATCCCCCCTCCCTCCTCCAGCCCACCACAGTACGCCTTGCTAAGCTCTCATCACTTCTCCTCTAAATCGAATCCCAGCCTCCTCCTTGCTTTCGGCTTCCCCTCTCCACTCCATTGTCCATCATTCCGTGAGCAAATCACACATAACTTCACACTGCTGCCCCTTGACAAACTCCACTTGCTGTCTACCCACGTCACAAGAATCCTGCTTTCCTCTGGGTGTCTGGACCAACTGATGACACATGCACATCCCAGGACAGCATGCCCGCCTGGCTGGAGCCCAGAGCATGGCACACAGCAGGCTGCCACTGAGTACCAGTGTCCTCTTGATTGCCTCTCCCATGAAGCCTTACAGTTCCCAAGGGCAGGGACCCTATCTGCCCCTCACTGAGCCCAGGTGCCCCACACACGTTATTTGGTGTAATGGTTGAGTGTGGCCTCTTAACCTTAGAGGGGTTATTTGACTTTTTGAAATTTTAGTTTCTCATCTGTACCATGGGTACAACCTAATAGTGTTGTTTGGAGGATTAAATGGGATAATGCAAGGGAAGTGCCTGGCATGAGTGAACTGAATAGACAGGTGGACAATTAGGACATGAAAAGCCACACCACCCCAACACCTGTTTAGCACCCTGCCGTGCTGAATCTTGTGCAGGGGCTCATGGAACACACTGGGAGCCTGCGGCTCCGAGAAGTGGCAGCTGACTCCTCTCCTCAGGGTGGGACTGGTGGCCATCTTTCTTTAGCTGTGCCCTGCGGTCACCTTGGGGCCCCTGTGCTGACACCCTGTGGGGGCTGTTTCTTTCAGATCTCCACCATCGGAGGCGTGACCTACGAGCGTGTGAGCAAGAGGCTGGCCTGAGCAACCAGGCAGGGTTCCGATGGGCTACAAAGCCACTAATAAAACAGGCATTCTGTTGCTTCAGAGCTTCTTTGTCTGTTTTCTTGTGTCTTGGTGCAGTTCTAGCTGGGTGGGGTGAGTGGGACCTGCGTCCCAGCACAGGGAGACTGGCATGTGGACTGCAAGACCCCTGGTCCCCTGGGAGCAGCCAATGGCACACACAAGAGGTGTGGTGAGCACAGTACTGAGGACCCCGGGCTGCCCTGCCACCACCACTCTGTGGGTGGTGACACGGGGCTTGTTTAAGGAGACAGAGGTCCCCTGGAGGGGTACTACAGTGACTCTCAGGTGGGCCACAGGGCAGGTGTATCAGAACTGGGGGAGGGTAGGAGTAGCACTTCCAGGACAGGGCCCCCTTGCTGAACCCCAGGGCTGGCAGACACCGGGAAGGGTGCACCAGGGCGAGGCAGGGAGGGGCTTCCGCACGGCGAGGCCCTGCTGCCAGTTTGCTGAGGGCCTCCTCCTGGGCCTCAGCTTGCCTACCGGTACAGAGAGGGCCCAGGAGGACCAAGGTGGGGCTGAGGAGAGATGACAGCAGGAGTGACTGGAGGGACAGTAAGGGCCTGGGATGTCCTGGTTTGGACAGAGGGGCTGGGACGGGAGGTCAGAAGGGTCATTCTGATTCCCTGCTAGGCACCTACAGCCGTGAGTCAAGAAGGGTTCTGAAGCGGCCTTTGGGTTTATCAGACATCCCTGTCTGATTACTGCATCTGCCCAGGGCATAGAAGTGGAAAGAGGTCGGCCTGCCCGTGGCTAGATAATCCCTAACTCAGAGTGCGGAATGGAACTTTCTGCAATCTCTTCTCTCCTTGGGCGTTTCTCCATCTGGGTGCCACCTTGACTTTTTACCCCATATTTTTCTGCATGACAGTTCATTTATTTTTACTACAATGGAAACTTTACATCACTTCTATATATGGAAAGCCAACATCTTTGCCATAAATAGATGAAAACTATTAAAAAGTCAAAGCTGAACAGTGTAACTTCTAGCTAGATTCTGTTGCCTGTCCAAAGCCCTGAGCCTGAGGCCTCCCTTTGAGAAGAGGGTGAGAGAGATGTAAAAGATGCAGCAGAGTCAAGTGGAGACCTCAACTGATCGGAACGACTGCAGACTGATGGAAAGAGAAGTGCGTACTCATGTTGAATTACCTAAATTATCTTGAACGGTCAGGTCCCATATATGGGGCATTAGAAATAAGGTTTGCCCAAACCTTGCATAGGGTGTGGCACATAGCAGGTGCTTCATAAGTGCCCCCTGACCTAAGGCCCTTCCTGCCTATGTAATCTGTGCCTTTCACTCTTGGAGGCCAGCTAGCCTGGACATGGCACAGCCCCGCGCCCTGGCAGCCCACTCTTTGCCTCCTCCCACGTTCTGCCCTGAATCTTGGTTCTCTATCCAAGAACACCACTCAGTTGCTCTCACCCCCCAAGGCAGGACCCCATGAATTCCATCGCTTTGTTAAGATTAATGCTAATTTAGTGAACCAGGTAAACATTACATTAAACTAACAGTGTTGTTTCCCCTACCGGCCTCAGTTATTTCTCGTAATAAGCTTGGATAATAAGTCTAAATAATGGAGGGTTAACCATAATAAGGCCAAAAATGGAGAAATTGAAAGAGAGGGAAAGAAGGGAGGAGGCAGAGAGAACAGAAGAGAAAAGAGGAAAGAGAGCAAAAGAAGATGGGAGGAGGGGAAGAGGAGATTGCTCTCACTTTGGTAACCGATTCAAGGACAAATTCAAATTGTCAGCAGGGGAGAAATTCTTAAGCTAGTGTTGCTACAGATTCACAGGCCTATGGAATAGCAGGATGTCAGAACTCAACTAAACTCTGTAGTTCATAGATATGGAAACAGGCTCAGAGAGGAGAAGAAATTCACCCCGGGTCACACAGGAGAGAGTCTCAAGAGTAATGTGGGGTTGGTTACCACAGGCTGATGGAGGCTAGGTTCTCAACCCAGCTTATGAGGGCTAAGAGTGACCTGGACCACAGCATCCACTCTGCTGGCAGCCTGGCAGCAAGGCTTCCTCAGCTGGTTGAAGGGACAGTGGCTGAGATGCTTCCACTCTGGACACACACTGCCAGGGTTCACATCCCTCTTCTACCGCCCAGCAGCCGTGTCGCCTTGGGATAAGGTCATCCATTTCTCTGAGCCTCAGTTTCCTCGCCTGTAAATGGGCATAATAACTGTACTTACCAATTAGAATTGTCATGCTACAAACTCTAAATACCAGCCGTTTCCACCGTCACCTCCATTATCACCACTACCATTCTTGCCCAGTGTGATGAAAGATTTACTAGTGTCTCCTTCACTGCCTCAGATGACACACGGGCAAGCTGCTGGGTTTCTGAGTCCTACCTTGTCCAGCAGTAAAACCTTTCCTTCCTAGGTCACAGGGAAGTCGTAAGGATAAAGGGTAAAAATCCACACTCATGGCTTCCAGAAAGCTGGAGCACGTCATCACCTTGCTGCACCATTCAAGCTGCTGTCCTGACTCCCGCTCCACAGGCCCCGGTCCAGGTGCACTTTATCCCAAGCTTTTCCTGGCCTTCACCCTGACTCTCAGCAGTCATGTCTTCCCCTCGGCCAGGGCAACCCCTCCCCTCCTGCCAAGCTTATTTGGTAAAACAGGAATCTCTAAAGACCACCATTAAGTGGTAGTTTTTTTCCCTGGAAGGGCCTTTAAAGACACCTCTAAGATTTCTGGGCCACCCCTCATCATGGGAATGAACAAAATTGAAATGGGACTTCCACATCCCTCTGGTTAGAGAAAGGTAGGGGCCCAGGGCATCTGTGGCTCTGTCTCCCTCTGTAGCTGAAAACCACCCATCGACTCAACCATCTCTGTTAGCAGGTGGAGAAACAGACCCAATAATTGAGGGATTCACCTCAAGTGAAGGGGGTGCCCATGGTAAATCCAAGACTTGCCTTGCCTCTGAATCCCCGAAACCTATGCACATGGCAGAGGATTCCTGCCCCCAGTCCTGCTTGCCAGTGGTTCCTGAACATCCTTGTGGGGACAGAGGTCAGCCTCAGGCCCTGAACATATCTCCTCATGCCTCCCCACCCTAACTAAATGCACCAGTGCTTGGTGAGTACCTCTCAGCTCCACCCTGAGGCTGGATCTCCAGGGTGGTTCTCCCACAGGCACCTGGGAGAGCACAAGGTGGATGTTCCTGAGTGGGACACATACCTTCAAGGGTGAGCTGCGGTCTGCCACCTTCCCTAATAGCTGATGCCATACTCCATCGATTCTGTGATACATACATTTTTACATTTTAACATTCCTGAAGTAAGAATGCAACATCTAATCAACAGTCTCTCAAGCACTGTGTCACATCTGAGCTGGCAATTTTTAAATTCTTCTTACTGGTACATAAAATAATGGTGCATCTTAAAGTAGATTTTATGTTTGAAGAAATAGAGTAATTATTTTTTGGGGGGACATTTATTATGTGGTCTAATACTCATGAGAACCCTATCAGGTGAGTGTTATTACTCCCATTTTAACAGGTGAGGAGACAGAGGCTCAGAAAGGCTGAGTCAACTGCTTTGTGACAGCTAGCAAGTGGTTGAGGTGGTTAATCTTATGTGTCATCTTGGCTAGGGTTTGGTGCCCAGTTGTTTAGTCAAACACTAGTAAAGATGTTGCTGTGAATGTATTTTATAGATGTGACTGACAGGTAACAACCAAATCAGGCTTTCAGTAAAGCAGACTGTCCTCCATAATGTGGGTGGTGTCATCTCATCAGTGAAAGGCCCTAAGAGCAAAGACTGAGGTTTCCAGGTGAAGGAATTCTGCCTCAAAGCCTGTTAACACGGAAGTCCTGCTTGCATTTCCAGCTTGCCCTACAGATTTTAGACTCAACCAAAACATCAACTCTTCCCTGAATTTCTAGCCTGCTCGCTGGCCCTACAGATTCCTAATGGGTCAGCCCCACAATCACCTGAGCCAGTTCCTTAAAATAAATGTCCCTGGTTACATATATAATGGGTTCTGTCTCTCTAGAGAACCCTGACACAGTGGCAGAGCTGGGATGTCACGCCTTACTCATTTCTGCTGCCCTTGTCTCCAGGGAGGCCCAGGTCCCATTCAGAGGGCAGGCCCCAACTCCACAGGACCCAGTCTTGCCATCACCCCTCCCCCAGAGCCCAGGGGTGCTGATGTGGATGAGGGAGGGTTGCACTGGCTGAGAGAAGGCCAGAAAGAGAACAGAGAGCACAAGAATAGGTGACGTTTTTATTGTGGATGCCATTTTCTGGGGACCAGGTTGGCTGTGAGGCTATATACTGGGGGGCCCCACAAGTCCTGCCCCAAAATAGGCAGACACGGTAACCTGGAATCCAAATCAGTCGTACATAAATAAGAGGAGTGGGCAAAGGGAAAAGAGAAAAACAACAAGCATGCAGTTTCCTATGCTAGTGATGGAGTGGCAGCGCCTCATCCACGTCCAGTCTTCGTATTCTGCCTCCAGCTGAGGCTTTCATCTGCTCTGAAAATCACCTTCGGGTCCGACTCAGCAGCATGCAGCTGCCTTCCTGGCAGTGCCCTGCCACAGTCTCCTGGACTGGCAAAGGAGCCAAGAAAACCAAGATGGGTTCTTCATAAAACAAACAAAAACTCGCTGATGGACACTGACTGTAATGGGGTATGGGGGACTCGGTGAAGGGGGAGCCTAGTAAACATAATGTTCTTCATGCAATTGTAGATTAATGATAACAAACAAACAAAAACAAAAAAACTGTCTCTGTGGTTCTCTGCACCTCCCAGTCCTGCTAAGTGAACAAAGTTTCCCCAGACCCTGATCCAACCAAAAAAAAGAAAAAAAAAAAATACACTAAGCATAAGCTGCAAGTCAGAATAAAAACATATTGCACAAGGTTACAAAAGAGCCTTCCTGAGAGCCTCACTACAGATACCCAAATACTGGCTTTCGATCCAACCACTGCCTGCCTGTCAACGGTGGTTATCACATATCATCCATGTACAGCCCTGCTCCCCAAACCCAGCTGGCTTTAAGCAAGTACTCCACATGATTATCCTTTCCTGTTAGCCTACTCAAAGCCAAGGCCGGGTTTAACCTCATGTACTACAGGCATGTGCTGGAGGGAGGTGGGGGTGTTGTGTTTTAACCTTTGTCTACCTTTCAACAGCCTTCTTCCTCTGGGTGGTCATCAAAGTTCTATAGGTGAACAAAGCATCCAAGGTGTGCAATCTTCTGGAACCAAAATCCTGCAAAGCTTTTCTCCCCAAACACATGCTTTTGAAAAGGGAGCTCTGTTGTTAGTTGTGGGCCAGGCACCAGCCAGGTTAGAACCGACAGCCCTCGCATGGGACAGGCAGTGTGGAAATTTGTTTTCTCCTAAGGAATTTTCAAGTATTACAAAATCCCTGATACAGTATGTAAACAAGGTATCTTACTGAACAGAAAGCTAGGACACTTTGGGAAGTAGCAGCACATAAAATATCTAAAAGGCTGAATAAGGTTTTAGGTTTGATAATACAGGAGGACAGCCACCCACTGCACCTTGGCAGGCAGAGACTCAGGCCTAAACACACACACAGGCCCCTCTGTACAGAACCAGGAAAAGAAAAGCCCCCAGTACAGTCTCAACTGGGGTTCCTGAGACCACGTCAGGCTGCCCCTTCTTTGCCAGTGTAGCTGCCATCGGCAAAGAATAAAGAAGTCTCTGATGCTAAAATCCAGACAAGCTCATGGTCTGCATCCAGTCCCCAGTCTCCTGGCTTCTTACTGGGCCTTTCTCAACTCACTGGGCCCCGACTCAGGGTAGGGCCACTAAGCCATTTCTTTGCACTTCAGCCACGCGTGGAAGATGTTTTCCCGAGGAAGGCTCTTGGGTGAGGTATGCCACCGACTGTTTTCTCTGGGTCAGTTTTATTTAAAGAGAGCACCAACCCTCTCCATTCAAGGGCAACGAGGCTCTGTGGGGATGGCCTCCCCGCCGAATCACTCCATGCAGTTCCCCTCAGCAGTGTCTTCTTCCTCTGCCCAGGTATCCAAGGCCTCCTGTGGGGCCCAAAGGTGCCCTATCTGTCAAAACAGCTTGTGGGGAATGCGTGGCTCCCACTGAAGTAGCTGTTTCCATAGGTGGTGGCAAGGCAGTGCCTGGGCTCCGCTGCGATGGCCATCTGCATGCTGAGGGGGACGGGACACATGTCCAGGGGCTGGAGGGAGGGGTACAGGGTATGGAGCGATGAGCCAGGGACCCCTGAGAGCAGGTTCCCCGGATGGTGGGCCTGTAGTGCATCCCGATAGGCCAAGCATAGGTCCTGCACGGGGGTCTGGAATTGTGCCAGGGCTGGTGGCACTGGCTGGCTGAGAGCAGGGTAGGTGGGTGGCTGGAACAGCACCTGGGTAGGGGTTGGCAGTGTGCCAGGTACCATCGCCAAGGCCTGGCTCTTACCTGCGACGGCGTCCTTGAGGACGTTGTCATAAGCTCTGAAAGGAAAGGACCTGGGTGAGACTTGGGGGGCAGGGGCCTTAGCACCAGGCACCTGAGTGCACCTCTCCCTGCCTGGCTGCATGGAACCCAAGATCTGTGTGCTGTTACTGAAGGCCATGCCCAGCCTGGGCACTGCCTGGGCACAACCGCAGCTCTTCTCTGACAAAACTCTGGCCTCAGCTTTCAGCTGGGATCTGTTTCCTACAAAAAAACGTTTTCTGAGCTCCTGAGACTAGCCTAGCTGTCCCCCAGCCCCTGCACCAGTCCACTTCAGCAGTCCAGACTGCAGACGACAACTTCCAGGCTTCTACTGGCCCCGTGCGCCCAGCATGAGGACCCATGTGTTCTGCTCCTCAGGGCAGCCCCAGCACCTGGCACAGCGCCACCCTCCCCCACTGCTTAGATGATCATCGCCTCCGCCTTCAAGGCACTTCTGGGCTGCTCCCTCCCCAGCTGGGCCACTCTAGAGCCAGCAGATCTCCTCCAGCAAGTTGCCACCTGGGACCTAAATTTCTCCATCTGTAAAGAGGGAGAAACAGGCTTATTTCCACGTCAGAAAAAAGAAAAAGCTTCCCATAAAGCTTTTTGGGAAAACAAATGGATTAGAGGCTTATGTATTAAAGGAACAAATGGAGGCTGGAGCAAATCTGAGAAGGGGCTGTCCCACAGCTACAATCACTGTGGCTGAGAACCCAGGGGCACCCACTGCACTCAGACCAGGCCCTAGCCTCTGGCTTTGGGTGCCTTCTGAAAGCATAGACTTTGAAACAAGGCTCAGGGAGCAGGGATGACATTTCAGAGGAGTGAGACAAAAGCAAAGCTTCCCACATCAGGAGGCCAAGAGATGGCTCTTCTGGAGCTTGGTCCACAGTCAGTGGGGCTGGTGTCCAGGAGATGTCCCCTCCTGCTGAGTGGAAGAAGGTCTGGGTGCTGCTGGGCAGGAATCTCCTGTCCTCTCTGTTCTCCTCCCTGTGGTTACTATCGAGCACTTTTGCTCTGATACCAGTTGCTTGGTTTTGGGTCTATGAATTTAAAGCATCTTCTTTGATACACTGAACATCTCTTCCTTCAGATTCCCAGGGACCCTTGCAAGGAGGCTGTGGCTTCTTAAATTAAGCCACTCTGGGCTCAGCTGGTTAGGAGGCCAGCTTTGTGGCCATATCTGAGAAAAGTAGCTTATAATGAGAGTCCCTCAATGTGATCATCCGTAAGACTGACTGAAACACTGGAACTCAGATCAAACAGCACACATGCACGGAAGGATGTGCACACAGCCCATCTTCTTGACCTTAAAATTCCAAACCCCCAATTATCCAAACTAGGAAGGATCAACTCCCAAGCCCCAATTCTATCAAGAGTCACCCTGGCCCACTTTATGTGAGACACTAGCTGGGGGAAACCACCGAAAGCCTCAGACTTTAGGAACTCATCTGAAGCGGGCCTTGAGAGCAAGCAGAACCTCAGTATCTCAAACACAGAGGGCTCAGAAGATGAACTTACACCAGCAGGGTTTCGATACATGTGCTGAGATGTTCCAGGGAGTAATTTGAGATCCTCTGTAGGTCTCTGGTCCAGTAGGGGGAAAGCTGAAGGCAAATCCTAGAGGCTCCAACACAGGCTGCAGCAACCACGGAAGGCTGGAATTTATAGAAAATGTGATCTGAAAGAATCACAGAGGGAGTCAGCGTTGTAAAGCCTCACCCTAGAGTCCCAGCGTCCCCCTGCCTTGTGCCTCCCAAGAATTGGCAGAAAAAATATTAGGTTTGAGGCTGTTTAAGGCTTTTCATGTTCACACACAACATGAAAAGTCAGAAACAGTGTGAAGTTCCACTCTTGAACCTTAAACACCCTGGATCTTAGCCTGGGATTTCTGATGTCAGCCTAGAGCAGCGATTTTCAGAATACTATTTAGGGCTTCCAGGGGTCTGTAAGGGACTTGCGATGGGCTACAAACAGAGACACAAAACATTTGTCCCTTCTTTGGTTGTTAGTGGTGAATGACACCTATGTTTTGGGGTGTGAGTGAAGGCTACTAGTAATAGTAACAAAGCTCAGCCCACAGTGGGAAATTGACCCACCATCTGTTGAATGAATGAATGAATGAATAGCTAGAAGAGTTTGATATTCATAACTAAAAGTGATGTATTTACTGAGGAATCTTCCCCCCAGCTTCATTGAAGCATGATGGAGAAATAAAAATTGTACATATTTAAGGTGTATAATGTGATGTTTTGGTATATGTATAAATTATGAAATGATCTAAGAAATCTTAATTTCCTAAGATATCTGGCAACATGGCAAAGCAGGTGTTACTTATGCAAAGGCAAACTGTTGAAATTCCCACAATCTTTCCTGAATGACATTGGGTGATCAGTGCATTATCATATTGTCTTAAACTGTTTATGATTTTTGATGACTTCAGCGTTTACCTATTAAAGTATGAATCAGGCAGGGTGATATTTATGGTTACAGTTACAGTCAGACAGATCAGTCTTTCTAGGTTTAAATCTTAGCACTGACTTGGGTAAGTCACTTCACCTCTTAGGCATCCATTGAGGAAACTGATTTGTAAAATGAGAATAGCAGAAATGATTTTCATGTGGAGTCACTGTGAGGTTCAAATGAGATAATGTATGCAAAGCTCTATAATAAGGTAGCAGTTATACACTAAGCACTCAATTAATGCATGATATCACAACTGTGGATATTATTATGATCATTTTGGTTTGTGGTGGGTATTGAGGGGTTGCGTCAAGTGTTTCTGACCTAGTAATTTCCTAACACCTGGATTTTAAGATACTGGGAAGAATGAGATCCAGATAAAAGTCCCCAGAGCAACTTTATCATTAAAGCAGAGGTAAACATAATCCTCTCCCCAATTCCCTCCCCAACCCATCTGTATGATGATAGCTCTTCTGGAATGACCTACCTACCAATCTGTCCTATTTACATCATTTGCATGTTCCAGGATGCCATAAGAAAAATTACCTTATGGATTGGTATGTTTGTGGGGTAATATCTGCCTGAATATAATGTGCTATTTCTCTTTTACACATTACTGGTAACACACTGGGAGAGTCCTTGCTCCTTCTTTGACTGTCTCCTGCAAAGTAGGAGTGACTTGGGTGGATGGACAGTTAAGGACTTTCCGGATGGACATCCTCTCAGTGCCATCTGATCCTGGCCCGAGTGGTAGGGAAGGGGTGACAGGTCCTAACAGCAGGTCCCACCTTGCAGGGCGACCTCTAGGAAGCAGTGGGCATACTCCTTGAGGCACTCTTTGGTCTTGCGGGGGCAGGTGGGGGGCCGGCTGTGGCAGTGGTGGTCCTTCTGGCTGACGGAGGCCAAGAGGTAGTAGTCCAGGAAGTGGGCGGGCGTGGGCAGGCAGAGGTTCCAGCTGAAGGCCCCCAGGAGCAGCAGCTCTGTGCTCAGCAGCTCCTTCTTGGTGAGGGTGAAGTTCTGGCCGCTCAGGATCCTCGTACTATTTATCTGCTCCAGCTTGGGTACATGGTCTTCCCTATCCTCGAACTTACCTATAAGAGAAGCAGAGGTTGCTGGGAGACAGCACCAGCTGGTACCCAGGAAGTAAAGGTCCCCCTTACAGTGCCTGGATGGTGCTGGCAGGGAGGACAGAGCGCCAAAAGGCCCCATGGCCAACGGAGTCAAATCCCCTAGCCCCTTGCAGGGATCACTACTTCCGGCTGTGATCATGCACATCTCACCCTATGCCTCAGTTTCCTCATCTGTAAAATGGAACCTGTATCTCCTAAGGCCTTTGACAGATACAATGAGAAAATGCCACCAAATCTTCAAACCAGCATGTGGAACACAGGTGTTCAAAAGAATTTGCAGCAGCAGCAAGGGCCTGGGAAACAAGGGAGGTCCTCACTAATTCAGCCTCAGGACTGGTCAGGGGATCAAAAAGCCACAGTCAGAATGACCTTGCAAACCTGATCCTGAGCCTCCACATATAGAAAAGCTCTCTAATGGCTCCCCACATCCTCAGTATTGAGTTTAAACTCCCTCAGTGGTTCTTAGTTTGGATCCCGTCAGAAGTAGTTTGCTGGGAGGTTAAGCCTAGGAAAGATCAGTGAGTGGGAGAGGAAGACAGGAAAGGGAAGAAGCCAAAAAGTACATTATCTTTACTCCCATGTTCACTGAAGCATTATTTATACAGACACAATAAAGTATCCACACAGATGAATGGATAAAGAAACTACGATATTTATATACAATGGAATATTAAGTCAACCAAAGAAAAGAAAACCAAGATATTTCAGACAACAGGGAGGATTCCTGAGGGCATTATGCTAAGTGAAATAAGTCAGACAAAGACAAATACTGTGCTATCTCATTTAAACATGAAATCTAAAAAAAATGAGCTGACAGATACAGAGAACAGAGGTGGTTTCTAGAGGCAGGGGGTGGGGGAAATGGGTGGAGGGGGTCAAAAGATACACACTTCCCATTATAAGATAGGTAAGTTCTGGGGATGTAATGTACAGCTTGGTGACCATAGTTAGCAATACTGTATTGTGTATTTGAAAGCTGCTAGGGCAGTAGATCTTAAACATTCTCATAACAAGAAAAAAAATTAACTGTGAGGTGATGGATGATAACTCAAGATCATTTCACAATATATACTTACATCAAATCATTATTTGTGAACCTTAAACTAATACAATGTTATATGTCAATTATATTTCAATAAAACTGGGTGGTGGTGGGGAGACATTATGTGACTTCCAAGGTGAGGCTTTAAGAGACTTTGCAACTTCTGCCTTGGCCCCCTTGGAGGACAACCAAGGTACCCAGACAATAGCCAGCACCCACTTTCAGACACGTGAATGAGACCATCCTGGGCCTGCCAGCCCTGCTGAAGCCTGCAGCGAACTAACACGCAACCCACAGACCTGGGAGGAATAACACAGCATTGTTCTAAATCACTGTTTTGGGGTGATCTGTTTTGCAGGGATAGATAACTGGAATACATTCATATCACAGCAGCAAAAAGATGTAAAACTCTACAGACATGCCACACAGCTTGGAAAGTACTGAAGGAACAATGAATAAATACTGGAATGTCCTGGAAATGAACTGCATGGAATAAAGTCACACAGAGCTAGATACAAATAAGAGTAAAACACAAGCCTTGGGTTATCCCACTGAAGGGTTGAAGGAAAGAAGGTATGTACCTAGCAGTCCCTGAGGGTCATCAGCTGCGGATGGCCCAGTGGCAGCCTTCACTGTGGGGACCTCCCAGCTTTAACATGCTTCACCCTCTGGGGGAACCATGCATGCCTGGTGGTGGCCCTGTTGCTGCAGTTCTCTGAAGGCATTGGGTTCCCTGAGCCCACAAGCCTTGGCCTACAGAGTCTCTCTGCCTGGAGCTCTCCTTCCTAGTCCCTCTTCACTCCACCAACAGCGCTTTGCCCTTCGCCCTCAAAGTCACTGCCTACAGTCCCCACAGGCTGTCCAACCTCCACATTGGCTGGTGAGCCCTGAGGCCTGGCTTCCGTCTGCCACCTGCGGCCTCCAGGCCCATACTGGGTACAGAACAGGTGCTGAGTGGATGTTGGCAGAGGCAGTGGGGTAGCCCAGCTGAGCTCAAAAAGCCCATGTCAGTGCTTTAAGGGCACAATAAACAAGGCGTCCACACACCTGTGCACAACGGCGAGTGTCTTCTGACCCAGTTCTCATCAGACTTGCATGCTTTTTAGGTGAGGTAAGGCAGTAACCACTACAGGATGCTCTACAGCAGATACAACATGCTCTTCAGGAGGCCTCAGATGACATCATGCAGAAATGCAACACTGACTCCGAGAAGCCAGCGTCTCCACCTTCTCAGAGCGCCTGGCACCAGCCCACAAAGTCGACAAAGTCAGTAAGATGCGAAGCCCTGGTCTTTGATGGGGAGGACTGGAGCCAGTGGAAATGTACAACCTGGTGGAGGGTGGAGATCAGTGCCTACCAGTTCCTAAGCAGCTTACAGCAACCCCAGACCCGTCCTGCAGCCAGGTACGGTGCAGGAGAAGGCAAGGTCAACAGTGCCCCAGGGGGAAGAGCCTTTGGCATAGCTGAAAGTCCTGGACAGGGCCTGGCTGACCAGGCCTTGCTGGCCTCCACTGCCTCATGCCATTTTCTCAACACAGGATTCCAGCCACATACAAGTCTGGTGCCTCCTCCAGTTGGGAGTGCCTATCCCTTCTCCACCTTTCACATGTCCTCCCAGGCTCAGTTTAGAGGTCACTGGATGTCATCAAGGTACTTCCGACATGCAAATTGCTTGTTCAATACAAGTATTAATATTAATGGCCAGCATCGGACCATTAATAGGTCATTAACAGGTATAAGCCCCATGAAGCAGGACCTATGTCAGACCCATTCGATCGTTGCTTCTCCTCCAGGTCCCAGCACACTGCCTAGTACATGGTAGGTGCCCAGTGAATATTCCTTGAAAGAACGAATGGTTCTCTCGTGATACTGGATACTTGAATTTTAGGCCAGTTGAATTGTTCTCTGATGACCTCAGATTATCTGTATCCCCTAATTTTTTCTCCAATGATCATACATTTTTTTTTCTTTCTTTTTTTTTTTGAGAGGGCATCTCTCATATTTATT